CATGGCACAATCGGAGTATAGGGAAGACATGTTCGCGCCTCCAGATGAGGAAACTATGCACCTATTGTGATAGAACACACCTCGAGGGGTCGCACCAGCGCAATCAGAGCCCTGGCTGCCATTGACCGTGTCATGTGGCTCTGGGACATGTGCATACCACACACCGCTGAGAAAAAGCCTTGACTACGACTGTGAGTTCTGACGTGTTCCTTTATAGTAGAAGAGGATGCAAGTGACATTGTGAGTGTATGATTCGACAGGTGTGCTGCTTTGCTTAAGACATTTAGCACTCCGGGTACTGCCCTTAGTATTGACGAGGACTGCCTTAACTAAAACACAGTAAAGATACCACTGAATTTCTCGACACGTAGTGTGCCGTTGTTCACTTCGAATGTTTCACGAAGTACTTCAGAGCCTTCGCATCGGCATACTTGGATGTGTACAGTTCTCAGAACGTCTTCGCGGGACAACGCTGCTTTCGATACGCCAATGCGTCGTGTGTACAGTGACTCTGGTTTTCAGCACACCACCGTCGCGTGCTGCGCCCGAGATGAGATCATGAGCAGGACAATCCAACTTCAGAGCGTGTTTTTGATACAATCACAACATTAGAAAGGTGGTGTATAGTAGCACATTGTCGAGGGTGTCTTAGCTAAAACTAGACAGTTTGCAGGTCACGCGTACTCGATGTGTATCCACTGGGAACCACAAGCCTAACCACGCTTGTCGTTTGACATCAGTACGCGCGTCTCGGTTGTATATGTGATCGTTTACAAGACTATTTCGCGTGATTTGACAGGGATAAGGCTCTTTGCACGACACCTCAAGTTCAGTGAGTATCTAGATGTAATCGCAAAACCAAACACACCTGTGCGCTTTCTTGGCTGGAATATTTCTGCACCACACTACCATTCGCTTTCATGGTGTGTGTAGTGTTTGTAGTTTTCAGTAGCACGGTGTCGAGTGTCTTAGCGGGATACAACCTTGCAAGCAGTGCAAGTGCAGGGTATAGCTGCGCCGGTCTGTGAGCAGCTTGGCCTTGTAGGAGACTGATGAAGTATCTGTAGGTACACAGTATGTAGTTAGGAAAAATATGATAGGATTACCATTTATGTGTCTAGAGGTTGGCAGAACATTATTTTAATGTGACAAACCTAATACCTGTAGGTACACAGTAATATACATATACATACACACACACACACTCACTCACTCACTCACTCACATACATACATATATATATATATATATATATATATATGTATATATATATATATATATTTATACATATACATATACACACATACATACATACATACATACATACATACATATATATATATATAAATATATATCTCACATATATATCTCACATACATGTATGCACGGGGGTACAATGCAAAGAAGCTATCCACCCCAGCCTTTGCGATCTTTGTGGGTCGATTCTCCGGTCCTAGCACCCGGTGCAGTAGGGCAGCGTACAACATGGTTGCCGCATTGCGCACATGCCACCTGTCACTGGCAAAGCACTGTATGGCTAAGATCAGCAGTTGTTCGAAGTGGTCCTTGAGGCGAGCGCCGACCACGGCGTCTCGGCACAGACTACGCAGGATGTTCAGCGCGTGAACTTGGGGCAGAGTGGGTGTCGATGACGAGGTTGCTTCTTCTGCTGGACTGGTATCTGTGAATGGATGAGTATGTTCACAAACGACGTGTCAGAAGATACATCGCGCGAGCCGTTCGCTTTGAGTCGAGTCTCAGTAGGGCTTCTGATGTGCATTCGGTTAAGAAATGTTGGGCTAGAACTACACATATTCAGCGTGCGCACGTGATACAATGTGTGTGTTGATGACGAAGCGAATCGTCAATGCTGACGTAGTAGCTGCGAGTAAAAGCCTTGCAGCTCGACAATTTTAGGGTAAAAGCCAAGTTGAAGTGGGTCTTGGATAGATAGTGTACAATTCATACTAAAACAATTATCAGAGAATATGCCATACCGCTGGAAATCATTGTAGCCAGAGCAAAAGATCGAGGTAAAACCACGTTAACGTAGGCCTTAAATAACCATACAACCTGCATACACAGCACTTGTCATTGACATGAAGGAACTTTAGTCAAAGCAACAAGCTTGGGTAAAACCACGTTAACGTAGGTCGTAGATAACCCTACACCCTGGCATACACAGCAATTGTCATTAATATGAATGAACTTTCGTCAATTGGTTAAAACCACGTAGAAGTAGGCCATGTACGATTATGGACGGTTCGTATTCAGTAACTACCTACGAACACAGCATACCCTCGGATCGCATTGTCGCCAGCGCAACAAGCTTGGGTAGAACCACGTTGAAGTAGGTCTTGGACGGATCATGTATGATGAGGGTCATGATCACTGCCGGTAGTCCTGCGCTACGGCGCGTGTTTGAGGAATCTGAGGCGATGGCGTTGAATACGCGTTCACCTGACAACGAAAGGTAGTGCCATATGCGAACGGATTTGAGCACGAATATATATACGTCGTACGATATACTGCGAAGTTGGTGAACTGTGAGTTTACGATTTAAAATGCCAGATGAGCTATTACTACTAGGACTAGTACTACTAGCAATTTCCTGCGTTACTGCTACAAGTACAAAAGCATGATGTATGTGATGCACGATAGACTGGTATGAGTACTGCCTATCATGTACCATGAAGTAAGTAAAGAACGGATATACAGGGTGTAATACTTTCTGGCCCAGTATGAATATGTGTTAACTATATCGGAGGCCGGACGGTTCGCTATAAGGCGGACATACACATTGTGACGTACTGCGGAACTGTCATCAGTACGAGTTTGTAGTTTTTGAAGTATGTGGAACTGTATGAATTTTCAATAGCTAACATTTACCTGCGGACTTCTTATATAGATAGTGTTCGCTGGAGATTGCCGAGGATGAGTATGGACTCTGTTTCCCTTCGTGCTATATAGCTCAGGCGCTACCCTTACTACAACATGCCCCATTCGAACACAGACAGGGCATGATCCACTTGAGCTATGCACAGCTACTGTTCCCAATACAAATCTGTGGGTGTAATGTACCCCTAACCCCGTCCTTATTTCGATGCAAATACATGATTCGAAACCGTGACAACCACAGATTCAAGCTGATGTGGTCAAAAGGACGTTAGTGGTAAGTACCTACACACATCTACATACAATACTATACCACACTTGTGCGGCAGTTGTCGCAGCCCACTGGCAGTGGCTAACCTGTCCCAAAACAATTCACAGGTGGACTCAAACGCAGGACGAGCAAATAGAACGAATATGTGATACGAGTTGTTTAGAACACATACATATACATACATACATATACATACATATACATACATACATACACATACATATACATACATACATACACATACATATACATACATACATACACATACATATACATACATACATACACATACATATACATACATACATACACATACATATACACATGTAAGTAGGTACACCGGCGCACGTACTAGTCAGCTGAATAGGTATATACAGTGTCAATACAGCACCATACCCCACTCGTGCGGCAGTTGTCGCAGTCCATTGTCGGTGGCTGACCAACACAATTCACAGATGGCCTCAAACCCGGGACGTGCTTGTTCGAAGGCACCCACGTGCACAGTGCTCACCAACTGGATGTAGGTGCAAACACAAGTGTGTTAGGTTCATGACAGGAGATTCCGAACAATACTCAGATTTGCATCTGAGCGCCAATCATCGATGCAGAGCTGAATGCAGGTTTTTAAACACGTCTGTTCGTTATGTGTGTGGCCAAATTGTTAGCCCTTGGCAAAGGGAGAATATTGCAGATAGCCGGTAGAATACAGACGCGCGCATAGTACTGGTCGCTAGGCAGGCTCAGGCGCTATTGCGACACAGCTTGCGGAAAGTTGGTAAGGTTGTACCCCAGCCTTCAAGCATAAACCGATGAAGACACACGCCGAAAGATGGTGCGTAGCACAGAACAAGACCTTATTCACAGCACACACTCATACACGCTCATCCACAGTCACCTGATCAATGAAGGACTTCCCCAGCTCTGCGATCATGTCAACGGAAATCAGTGCGTTCGCACTCGCAGCGCCGGTCTGGCCCTTGTTCTCGGCACCCACGCCAGTAACGGGCGCTACAGTCGAGGTGAGGCATTTCACCAACTGACTCACACTCTGTACCGTCAGCCAACTGCACACCAGCACCATTTTGTGCAGCGGTCCTTGCACCTGCACCTGTTGTGGATCTGGACTGGTCACAGGGGTATGCGTGCTTTCCCCCTCTTTTTCATGACCCTCTGTACTATCCGGTGCACCCTTCTCGGCACTCAAAGGTACCGAACTGTTCCTATCCGACAGCCGGATCACTCGGTCGTAGGCCGCGAGCACTTCAGACGGAAGATTGCCCTCCGGCGACTCATTCCGCACAACTGGCGCCACCAGAGTGACCAACTCCAAACCAATCCGCACGCTCTCACGCAGAACCACTCTCCACTCCTCTAATAAGTCCTCATCTGCGCCTTCTCCTTCTGAGTGCTTTCCGAGGGTGAGATTATCTGTATAGCTATCATGTGTGTGTGCATGGGCGGCGGTATGTGTAGCGAGCTTCGGTTGTGCGGAGAGGCCTGCGAGTGCCTTCCAGCTGGTGTCAAGCAGCACATACCGCAGAGCATTGACTGTGGCGTAGATGGGAGCGGAATGGGCCGCCAGTAGCAGACTCTGTCTGGCTATCTCCACCTGTGTTCGGTATTTATAGGTTGAGCTTGCCGTTAGTTTTGAACTGTAGAGTTGTAAAATAGAGCATCCAGAATGTGGAGGTAAAACACTTGCAACGTACGTATTGTACTCTCATAACCAGAGAGAAACGATACCTATCTACATCCAAAATCTACTCTTACGTTCACAACCATGCCCCAAAACAACACACAACACAAGCAATACAAGCAATGGCCTCATAAATGTTAAGACTTTTCTCAGGCACTTTTGCACACAGAATGGGTATGACACACAACCCTAGCAATAAAAGCAATGGCCTCATAAATTCAGTTAAGAATCTTCCCAGGCACTTTTGTACACAGAATGGGCCTGACGTACCTCGCTGTATAGTCTCGCGAGTACCTGTCTCACAAAACTCAACCGCGACCACAAGCACGAACGTTCCCAATCCATCTCGGCAACCCGCGCACTAGAGATACCAGAGAACACAGTCTCCTCTCGTCCCGGTTTGTCCGTACCGTTATCTGTTCCTGTATGGTACTTGCCCAGGTAGATCGTCGCCACCAGTGCTTCAGTTATGGCCTCTATTTCACACCCACAGGCAAACCCTCTCTCTGCGTATAGGACCGCCAGGCGTGTCAGTATCGCCCCGGCCTCGCCTTCAATGGCGCGCGGACTACGCAGCAGCACAGCGCCTTCTGCCAGAATGGCACGCACGCGCACGCACAGAGTGTGTTGTTCGGATGTGTGTCTGATACTCTCCGGGGGGGGGTGTGGCAATCCTAAGGAATGATGGTAGTAGACTGTGGGTCTGAGGTCGGAACGTATGCACAGAGAACGTTTTGTTTGCACGGAGTTGCAATGTCTTGCAGTGAGTGTACAGCAATCGTATACACAACGCAGAGGTTATTAGATACGTGAGCATCAACCATGGAAGGAGCTAGATATGTATCCGTAACAACAGAGTGTTGTTCATATGTAGTTTTGTGAACTCCCCGTGTGCTCACAGCAATCCTAAACAAAATGCAAAAGGTCAGTCAGTGAGTTATCGCATTGGACGGAAGGGGACAGGTCAGTACGATGCACCCAGTGTGCGTTGCTCGGGTGTGAATGATATGACCTCCGGTATGTGTACAGTGTTCCTAAGCCTATGCGGAGGGTAGCCGGTGAGAGTTCGCGGACATTCAGTACCACCTGACCTTGACCGTGGCACTGGAAAACACAAGGAGGCTGTAGCGTATGAGACGCCTGGAAGGAACTATCAGAGAGAAAAAGGACCACCGCTGCACACGTGTCCCATATTGTCAGAGAACACGCTGCGAGGAAGCGTTCAGATTCGTGAGCATGTTTTGTGCTCGCTGATGGTGGCCCATGACGGGCTCATCCACATAAGGCCACAGGTACGCGCGTATACCGCATACATCCATGATCTAATACGACATAGTATTGCGATACCCCGTCCTCTCTAGTAGTCAACTGACTCAACTCCCAGATCTTCCACTTTTACGGGCAGAAAAGAACACCAGGGGCAGCGTGCAATAGAACAACCAGCAAACCAATACAGTCACACAAGCAGCTACGGCAACACAAGTGATGTCACTGCGGGGACACGTACAGCTTTGCCAACATGATGTATGCGCGCTGACGGTGGCCCTCTAAGGGATGCTGCTCACGACAAACACTTGCGCACCCTCACGATGCAACACCTCACAGCATATGCACGGGAGGTGACGGGTGACGGTACGAACATAACGATAATACAGTCACACACGCAGCGAGGACAGGGCAGGCACTTCTAACACACCACATACTGGGAGGAAGCGTGCAGCTTTGCCAACATGTTGTAGGCACGCTGGCGGTGGCCCTCTAAGGGATCCTGCAGACAGGGCATCAGCCGCTCACGCGCATGCGCGCACCATTCTTCGTCTAGTACGGCATAGTATGCTCGCACGCGGGGTTGATCCTGTGTGCGTTTGTCCATAATTCAATGTGCGTTGTAGGATAAGCGTTAGGTATGAGAAGTGTGTGTTGTGTGTCAAGTATCAGGAGTGTGATATTTGCGAAAGGCGTGCTTCGTGGAGTGAGTGTGTGCTGTATTGTTGCATATTCCTGGACCTCAATTGGACGACCATCACCCGACTAGAGACACCCGAAGACTCAGCACCACCACAACACACATACACAAATATTAACTAGTTCAAATAATAGCAATAACAACGGTCCCATACGAGCTACATAAGGCGGCACAGTGATGTTACCTCTTCGGCTTCTGGTCGTGGTTGTTGGTCTTTATTTGCTGCTGTCTCCGGCTTATTCCTGGCTAACTTCTCTGCCTTATTGGCATGTTTGCGCTTGCTCTTCTGCTTGGGTTTGTTTTCATCGAGTTCTACTAGTTCGCTGTCCATCAGCCCTTCCAACAGACCCAGCACTGATATGGTCGGAGATGTGAAGCTGTGATGAGGTGCAACATAAACAAAAGTGGTGGTGCATATACTCAAACATATACAAACATATAGCATTATTTACGACGTCGCCAGACCGCCGAGGACGCCCTTGCTTGCAAAGAAAAGGAGATAGAACGCTCGTGCGTAGAGATGTCTAAGGAGCGAAAGCTGGATAAAGACACTGTCACTTGTCCTATAGACGCCACACCGTCACAACTGATCGTGAGGCTGGGCGACTGCTGGTCCACCCATATGTGCAGTGAGATTGTCCCGTCCCTGAATGGCCGTATCGTATAGCATCTACACTCACATCATCTAGTCGTATATTGGCCGTTTGGAGGTGTAATAGATCGCATTTTGATCTGTGCTTGTGTTGGTTGAGTTGGACTAACCTGTGCTGGTGTGACCGAACGGGCCGGCTACCACGGGATAGAGGGCCTCCGCAAGGTACTTCATCAGCCACATCAGAAGTGCTTGCATATCTTCGTCGGAATGCTCACTGAAGTAGATCTGCGAACAAGAAAAACACGAAGCCATGAGCATAAAGGAAAAGATATATGTGAGAAATATGCAGTTAAAGTGATTTCGGGTACGGCTCAAGCTATGAAGGAAGTCCAAGAAAGAAGCTAAGTATGATAGTGTTGGCTACATCTGTGCACTCTATGCGACGAAAGTTTAGCTACAACGAACATATACTCATACTGTCTGAGACAAGCTATGTTGGGCTTTGTATAATTTCTATGCCGTCGCAGCGGCTGTCAAGACTACTACACATCAGCGCTTCCAATAGTACGTATGGAATATTATCTGCCTACCTTCAATTCATATAATGTAGGCTTCATCTGTGTACTCTAAGCGACGTAAGTGTAGCCAAAAAAAACCCCCAATATACGCTCAGTGTCTGAGACGAACATCAGCTCAGCTCTGAGCCACGGCCATTGTCCCATAGCACATCCAACTATGACGTATGCCGCCACAGCACTGGAGATGGTATGGACTATTATTAATACACCTAATGTACGCCTCGCAGGTACACTGTGACCAACACGCATACCCGTGTGAGTATATAATTGAACACTCCATACACAGACACAGATGCCACGCCAGATATACGCACCTTGGCTGGTTCGGATCGACGTTGCCGACCCTCAGTAGCTACACTGACAGCCTTTGATGCTGTAGGTGATGTGTGTGGCAAGGGGTTCGAATGGGCTGGTTGAGATTTATTGTACAGCGTCATGTGATTTTTCGGTTGGGATCTGTTGCGCAACGTACATGTGATACTCCTCTACCCTTCACATACCCAATTGCCCATTTTTAGTCCCATTTAATCAAAGACCCAGTTTTAGTCCCGATATATCAATGACCTAGTTTTAGTCCCGTTCAATGAATTGCCCAGTTTTAGCCCAGTTGAATTTCCAACGTCTGCAACTGCTCAGTGAGCACATATAGTAAACCTTTACCCCAGCAACCCTGACACCATAAGCCCATAACACCCAACCTCAAACGCGTCACGTACCCGAATGCTTAGCTTTTGCCTTTTGTTTCTGCAACGCCTGTGATTTCGCTCTAAGCACAGCACAGTAAGCGGTTCGCAGACGCTTCGTGACCTTGGCCATGGCCTCACAGATGAGCACCCTCGCCTTAGAGTGCGGCACGTTCAAGCTGTGGATCAGGAACAGTCGCACATGTCCCATTTCGTGAGAGGTCAGGACTTCCGAACCTCGGGGATTGTCGGCGATCAGATTGAAGGCCAGGATGCGCAGATACACGTCGTGTGCGCACAAGCAGTCGCGCACGACGCTGTTGAAGGTGTCTCTGCAGTGGTGTGCAATTGAGAGGCAGATGAGTCTGTATGAAGTAGCCAGTGCTGAGACAAAGGGAATAAGGCATGTTCGACTAGTTTGACTATAGTCTCACTAAAGGGCATGTTCGACTAGTTCGACTATAGTTTCTCTAAAGGGCATGTTGGACTAGTTCGACTGAAGTCTCTCTAAAGGGCATGTTCGACTAGTTGACTTTAGTCTCTCTAATGTGAATGCCTCTGAACTGCAGGCGAAGATGTGCTGCTGCACGCTGTGTGCAGAGTGGAAATCACTTAGGACTCCACTGGAAGTATGTCTAAGGCTGTGTATGATCGGAAGATACATGAGCGCAAGGGTTGTGGGTGCCGATTCAGGAGACATAAAGTGTATACCCGCTGTAGGATTTTCACTTGATCGTGTGATAAGATGTCGATAGTCATGTGTGGCCGAGATTCACGTGGTGTGTACACAGAGAGTCGGGGTTGACGATGTTGAACATGTCGCTGAAGTGGTACGTTATTAAAGGTAGGTGAGTGAGTAGGCATGGGATAACAGTATACAATCTTCTTAAGTAAGCTAGATCGGAACCGAAGCATCCAATGAGGTCATGCAGATACAATGTAGCCCATTTCGGCGTTATATATGTATGGTCAATCGAGCAATCCTGTAACATCAAACTCGCCACAAAACACTGACAAATGATGGCCTTTTCGATCACTTGTACTTGGCAACGAAAATCTTTTCGATTACCTATATTTGGCAAAGAAAATTGTCATTGGCGAATACTCATCCTCAGACCGCCGGCAACTGAGCAACTCCGAACCACTCGTATGTTCGCGCTGTGGGACTACATCCTGAAAGTGGAATTGGCCCGATTCGGACGTTGGATTTGAAAATGTTAGAAGGTGATGGACTGTTGTGTATGTAGGGTCATGTTAGAAGATGATGGACTGTTGTGTATGTAGGGTCATGTTAGATGTGTATGTATGGTCGTGTTAGAAGATGATGGACTGTTGTGTATGTAGGGCCATGTTAGATGTGTATGTAGAGTCATGTTAGAAGGTGATGGACTGATGTGTATATAGGGTCTATCAGAAAACCCACACTCATTACATGCACTTCAAACTTGTCGAGAATTCCAAAGTTCCTATGGAATATATAAACGCGACAACAAAAACGCACGACAATGTGCAGGCAGATAGCGTACGTTGATCTGACAACGTGCATGTGATCTATCTTTCATAGATGTTGATACCCGTCGAGTCAACACAACACCAAAGAATTCAACACACAAAGTGCCAGAACAAGAGCAGGCGCGACAACAGAAACTAACCCCCCTCCCTTCCAAAAAAAAACAAAAAACAAAATCTCATTGTCACTTCGGGTATACGATGGTCACTCCAAATACCAGCACACACTTAACGCTACCTGTGAAGCCGATGTACCGAACAGATCGAGGCTGTGGTACAGAGACTGCTTCAGCCCATACTGCAGGGCTAAGAGGATTGCCTGTGCGTGCAGTGTGCATGCGCGACCGCGTGCCTTCACACTATTCTGAGACTGCAGGGGTAAGGAATGTCATCACGGATAAAGATGAGCCAATCACGGAATGAAAGCCGGAAGAAATGGTCATGACCGAGACACGTTCAAATCTTTCAGGTTCAGAAACTGTCACTGTTTCAAATTAGTTGACATTGTGCTAGATGCTCGGTAGATGGCTTTTGGGTTCTGAGCTGTAAAACAGGCGCCGGTGAGACAAACACAAACTCTCACCTCACCTGTACACTCAGCCTTTGTAAGAGGGACAGGGAAGCGCACGCTTCTGAGTGTCACATGCACAATCACAGTAATAATGCAGAAGCCTGTATCACTGATAAAATATACCCATATTACTAAACGAAATCCTACACCACCTGCAGCTTCAGATCCCCGAATAGCCACCACTGCTTTCACAGAAGCGAAGTAGCACAGAAAGAATAATTCTGCAAACAAACACGATAGCACACACTACCTGTACAACAAGCACGATATCACACACTACCTGTACAACAAGCACGATATCACCCACTACCTGTACACTCCGATCCCCTAACAATGACAGGTAGCCCTCATAACTAAGCGCCGCATTCACACTCTCACACAGCCCGCAGTAGCACACACCAACACACAACACACACCCTTGTCAGAAAGACGCAATCAATTGCACACCCTACCTGCACACACAGCTCTCGTAACAGAGACAGGTAGCCCGCACTCCCAAGTGCTGCATGCACACTCTCGCACAGCAATGCGGTCGTGAATGTCAGATCATACGACCCGTCTGCCGTACACTCTCCTGGTCCGTCGCTGTGTGAATCGCCCGATGCCATAGGAGTCACCATAATGCATACCAGAAGTCTGAGAGCCTCTTCCACGCACTGCACACTCTTCACCTCCCGTGAGGGGTTGTATATCGTCGTACTTTGTGTCGTATTTTGTGTCGTATCTCCGGGTGTGTCTCCGGGTGTGTGTACGGTCTGTTGTGCGTGCGCTGGTACATCTGCAAGATCCTGTGTCTGTTCAGAATCATTAGCTTGTATAGACTCGTGCGTCCGGATCCAACACAGTATCACCTGTACAGACTCAGACACGTCTCTGGCGAACGCTGTCGGTGGATGTACCCGCATAGCCTGGGCCGCCTGTTGGCATAGCAACGGAAGGTGCACACGCACATCGTAGGCGGGCGATTTGAGGTCCTCATTCGCACGGCACAGTGGCAGCACGCGACGTACTAGCGTCCATTTCGTCTGCGAATTAACAAAACAAAAGGAACTAATAAGGTGTATTTCTTTGCGATGGAATGTACACAAGCCCCCTACACAAAAAAAGGTATATGCATAGTGCTCCCGTACACAAACAAAAGTATACGCATAGGGCTCCCGTACACAAACAAAAGTATATGCATAAGGCTCCCCTACACAACCAAGAGTATACGCATACGACTCTTAATGTCCCACTATGGTAGCGAACTCTGAGTTGGCTATGCCACATATGTATCTCAGCTATAGTAACGCATATAAATTTACTGAAGGAACAGTTTGGTAGCCCTTTTTAACCCATGAAATCTTCGTCGCCATTCATACTAACAGACCCCATACTTACAGTTGACTAGTAGGACTTGTGGCGCAGTATGAGAGACACTTACCATCCGGTAGGAATCAGGGTCCACAAGCGCAGCCATGATGCCCTTCAACAGAGTGTTATTATAGATCTCAGAAGCAGCCAGAGAGTCATCAGCTACGTGTGAGTGAAACGAAGATGAAGTGACATATAACAAACTAACTGCCATCTGTAGATATTTTACCCACGTAATGCGTGAGCGGCTGTGAAGCTAGCTGTTGATGTGCATGCTAATCGATGTGGTCCATTTCATCAGTTTCGTATATGTGTGTGAATAATTGTTTGATACTATTACTAACGAAGCTATTGCATGCTGGTGTGGATGTAAAGTGGGTGAAGCACGTGGCGAGAAATTCAAGAGATGCGATCCATACGTGCACAGTTGATGTAAAAATGACAGAAGAATATATA